AATTTTCTAACTGAACATGTTACATATTAAATTGATTAATATTATGACCCAATTGGATTTTACCTTCTTCATGTACCTATCTGTAGATCCCCAAAGCCTCCAAGTATACTGATTTGGATGATTTTATATACGTTCCTTAAGACCATTTTCTGGTAGCAGTATAACTCTGAATTGCATTAAAGGAAAAAGTAAACCATTTTGTAGAACTAAGTGTGATTTTTCTCAATTTAAACCCTACATTCTTCCTATTTGGAGCTACTTAATGATTTGCTGTGTCATTTCCACTCCTGAGTCAGTACAGCTTTATTTTTTACTTAATTATCGCAATTAAGAATATATTTAAAATCTCAACTCTTTGATCTTCCTAGTAGATATTTTTATTGGTCAGTGTCAAACAGATAGAGAGCCTGTAGGAGATATGTATTAGGAGATTTATTGCAAGGAATTGGCTTATGTAATTTTGGAGACTGACTAGGCTTGGCCATAATCCATGAGGCAGGTCGTCAGGAAGGGTAGATTGGAACCCTCAGGCATGAACTTCCACTGACTTAATCAGGCTTGTTCAGATTATCCAGGATAAGTCTTCTTACTTAAAAATCAACTGATTTTTGGTTTTAGTCATACCCACAAAATAGCTTCACAGGCACACCTAGATTAATGAGTACCTGGCCAAGTTCACACATAAAATTGACAATCACAAAATTTAAATGCAAACATTTCAAATTTAGCAAAATAATATAGATTTATGCATAATTGTATATGTTTGATATCAGTTGAAACTAGTTGTTCCTTTTGTGGTTGCAATGAAATACACATTGTGAAAGCGAATGTTCAAGTCCCTCAAATGTTGGGCAAGGGAAAGGGCATGAGCAAGATGATGTAGGCAGCTGCCCGTGAGATTCTGTCCCCATAGCTAAGGCAGACAGTTGGCTATTCTAAGATCTCGAGGTAAGTACACCCCAGCCTGTTTGGTATTCTCTCTTGCTTCTCAGATCTAGGCTTTCTGAAGGGCTCTGTCCAATAAGTGGAGAGGGATTTCCTTGGCTGTTTAGAGTGTGTCTGTTTTCAAATAATGATTAGAAGCAGCCAGGCTTAAGCCCAGAAGCTTTGGAAGCCAAGGGATGGCACCCTGAGTTTTACCAAGAATACTGAAGATATTAAAACAGAGGTTCTCCAATGGTTACCAGAAAACAGGTCACAGATAATACACATCTGAAAACTAAATGACCACTATATTTTCTTGCCTCTGCTCCAACTTCAAGGATAAAAGCTTCTTAAAAGCACAGATTATATATACTCAGAGCATGTCATAGTGAATAGCATAGATGGCAGTTAGTGTACCAGCAAGAAATAGTACACCCAATAAGGTGACGAGGGTTTAACCAAAAGTTTTGTTTAAAAAGATGTGGGCCAGCTTCTGAGAACCCCCAAATGATTGTGTAGTACTCTATAGCCATTATCATCCTCAGTCTTGGGGGGTAGGAAGGGAGAGATTACTGAAAGCATAAAGAGGAAGTCTAGGACTGAGAACTACCCTCATAGGTGCTATGACCTTTGCTGAAGCAATGTAATTAGTACTCTGGAGAGGCAACCAAAGAAGAAGAAATACAGTACTCTGATTCTGAAAAGCCACCTCACTCTCTCCCTGTAATCACCTGCCAGGGTTTCCAAATGGCTGAACCCACAGAATATCAGAGGGCCAGTGGTCCACCAATGTGATCCCTCAAAATCAGCCATCTGAGGCCACAATGGTGAGTGGGTCCAGAGGGGCACACAAAAGATAGGAGGCTCTCCACTCACATTATACAGCAGCTCCAAGCATGTGAACCTGAATAAGCTATGTCATTTCTCTGAGTCTCAGTTTTCTCACCTTACAATAATGTAATCATAGTTATCTGGCTGGGTTGTTTAGGGGCAGATAGTACATGTAAATGTAAATTACTCTTTGTTTAAACTTTTATTTTAGGTTTCACACATATGTGAAGGTTTGTCACAGGGAATTGTTGTAGAGATTGTTTCGTCATGCAGGTATTAAGCCCAGTACCCAATAGTTATCTTTTTGCTCTTCTCCCTCCTCTGATCCTCCCCACTCAAGTAGACCCCAGTGTCTGTTGTTTCTTTCTTTGTGTTCAAAAGTTCTTATCGCTTAGCTCCCATTCATCAGTGAGAACATGTGGTATTTGGTTTTCTGTTCTTGCATTAGTTTGCTAAAGATAATGGCCTCCAGCTCCATCCATGCAAAAGGCAGGATCTTATTCATGTTTATGGTTGCATAGTATTTCATGATATATATGTACCACATTTTCTTTATCCAGTCTGTCACTGATGGGCATTTAGGTGGATTGAAGTCTTTGCTATTGTGAATAATGCTGCAATAAATATTTGCATGTGTGTCTTTATGGTGGAATGATTTATATTCCTCTGGGTATATACCCAAGTAATGAGATTGCTGGGTTGAATGGTAGTTCTGCTTTTAGCTCTTTGAGATATTAACATACTGCTTTCCACGATGGTTGAACTAATTTACATTCCCACTAACAGTGTATAACTCCCATTTCTCTGCAACCTTGCCAGCATCTGTTAATATTTGACTTTTTAATAATAGCATTTCTGATTGGTGTGAGATGGTATTTCATTGTGGTTTTGATTTGCATCTCTCTAATGATCAGTGATAGTGAGCTTTTTATCATACGCTTGTTGGCCACCTGTATGTCTTCTTTTGAAAAGTGTCTGCTCATGTCTTCTGCCCACTTTTTAATGGATTTATTTGTTTTTCTCTTGTAAATGTGTTTAAGTTCCTTGTAAATGCTGGCCATTAAACGTTTGTCAGATGCATAGTTTGCAAATTTTCTCCCATTCTGTAGGTTGTGTTTACTCTGTTGACAGTTCTTTTTCTGTGCAGAAGCTCTTAAGTTTAATTAGATCACACACGATTTTTGCTTTTGTTGCAATTTTTTTTGGTGTCTTTGCCATGAAACCTTTGCCCATTCCTATGTCCAGGATGGTATTGCCTAGGTTATCTTCCAGGGTTTTTATGCTTTTGGGTTTCACATTTAGCTATTTAACTCTTTATTATTATTATTATTATTTGAGATTCAGTGGCATGATCTCAGCTTACTTCAACCTCCACCTCCTGGTCTCAAGTAATTCTCATGCCTCAACCTCCCAAGTAGCTGGGACTACAGGCATGTGTCACCACACCAGACTAATTTTTTTTTTTGTAAAGATGGGGTTTCACTGTGTTGGCCAGGCTCAAACTCCTGGCCTCAAGTGATCCACCAGCCTCAGCCTCCCAAAGTACTGGGAATACAGGCGTGAGCCACTATGCCTGGCCACATTTAAGCCTTTAATCCATCTTGAGTTGATTTTTGCATATGGTGTAAGGAAGGGGTCCACCTTCAATCTTCTGCATGTGGCTAGCCAGTTATTCCAGCACCATTTATTGAATAGACAGTCTTTTATCCATAGCTTGTTTTTGTCAGCTTTCTTGAAGATCAGATGATCGTAGGTGTACAGCCTTATTTCTGGGTCCTCTATTCTGTTTCATTGTTCTGTGTACCTGTTTTTTGTTTCAGTACCATGCTGTTTTGGTTACTGAAGCTTTGTAGTATAGTTTGAAGTTGAATAACATGATACCTCCAGCTTTGTTCATTTTGCCTAGGATTGCCTTGGCTATTCAAGCACTTTTTTTGGTTCCATATGAATTTTTAAATAGTTGTTTTCTAGTTCTGTGAAGAACGTCATTGATAGTTTGATGGGAATAGCATTGAATCTGTAAATTGCTTTGGGCAGTATAACCATATTAATGATATTGATTCTTCCCTATCCATGAACATGGGATGTTTTTCCATTAGTTTGCATCTTCTCTGATTTCTTTTAGCAGTGTTTTGTAATGCTCATTGTAGAGATCTTTCACCTTCCTGGTTAGCTGTGTTCCTAGGTGTTTTATTCTTTGTGTGGCAGTTGTAAATGAGCTTGCCTTTCTGATTTGGCTCTTGGTTCTATTGCTGGTGTATAGGAATGCTAGTGATTTTTGAACATTGATTTGGTATCCTGCAACTTTGCTGAAGTTGTTTATCAGCTGGAGGAGTTTTGGGGCTGAGACCATGGCATTTTCTAGATATAAAATCATGTTGTCTGCAAACAGATAGTTTGACCTCCTCTTCCTATTTGGATGCCCTTTATTTCTTACTCCTCCCTGATCACTCTTGCTAGGACTTCCAATACTGTGCTGAATAGGAGTGGTGAGAGAGGGCATCCTTGTCATGTGCTACTTTTCAAGGGAAATGCTTCCGGCTTTTGCCCAGTCAGTATAATGTTGTCTGTGGGTTGTCATAGATGGCTCTTACTATTTTGAGGTATATTCCTTCAATAAGTGGTTTATTGAGAGTTTTTAACATGAAGGGGTATTGAATTTTATTGAAAGGCTTTATGTGTCTATTGAGATAAGCACGTGGTTCTGTCTTTAGTTCTGTTTATGTGATGAATCACATTTATTGATTTGCATATGTTAAACCAACCTTGCGCCTTGTGGATGAAGCCTACACGATCATGGTGGATTAGTTTTTTGTTGTGCTGCTGGATTCCGTTTGCAAGTATTTTGTTGAGGATTTTTGAATCAATGTTTATCAAAGACATTGGCCTGAAGTCTTCCTTTTCTTTTGTGTCTCTGTCAGGTTTTGATATCAAGATGATGCTGGCCTAATAGAATGAGTTGGGGAGGAGTCCCTCCTCAATTTTTTGGAATGGTTTCTGTAGGAATGATACCAACTCTTCTTTGTACATCTGGTAGAATTTGGCTGTGAATCCTTCAGATCCCAGGCTTCTTTTTGGTTGGTAGGCTATTTATTACGGATCCAATTTTGGAGCTTGTTGTTAGTCTGTTCAGGGAATCAGTTTCTTCCTGGCTCAATCTTTGGAGAGTGTATGTGTCCAATAATTCATCTGTCTCTTTTAGGTTTCCTAGTTTGTGTGCATTCATTACTCTTAACAATAAATGGAGCTTTGCAAAGTGGCAATTGTTGTAGCCAATGAGGTTTATCTGAGGCACAATTACTGCTAAATGAAACTTTTCCCAGTACCCCTCTGTGACGACTTGCAATATAGTTGGCATTGGCAGTTTTTGACAGTCTCCACAGAGACTAAATTAAAAAATATGTAATAGATAGTATTCAGTATAATAGCTGCTACTATTATAATTGTCACCACTGTTGTTACCTCAACTAATTCGTAAAATAGATATGAAGTTCATTTGACAGCAGGAAAGAGGTAAGAGATTCAAGAAACATTTTGAACTGTGTTAGAATAACTGTAGCATCTTACATAGGTATATGTGTTAACCTAAACTCTGATCATAAGACAAAACCCCCATTTCCTCTGAATGCTCCTACTGATCATACATTTCTACTTTTTCCTATTTATTTGCCAGAGATAAAAATAAAATTAGTAAACTATCCCAGTTTGAATTTCCCTCCTACCTCATGGTGGAGAATTTCATGTCAGATAAAATGGCCAAAAGATTTGAGATTGGGGGGAGAAACTGAGACTAATGCACATTGTCTGACTTCATAATTACTACAATGCAATTTCATAAAAACTGTATTAGGCAGATAATAACATTGTGATTTAGTAATTGTGTCTACATCTGTAATTTCTTTTCTCTATGGTATTTAGGATTACAAAAGAGGATTTATAGATATCATAGGGGAAAAAGTAATTTTTTGCTTAACCCTCATATGTTCTTAGTTGAAACAGACCCTTGTAACAATAGCAACAACAACAAAAAGCAGATTAACAAGAGAAAAACAGAAGTTTGCTAATGTGTATATTTCCTACATACATGGGAGATATCTAGAGAAGGAGTAATTATCAAAGAGGTTACTCTGAATTCCACTTTATATAACATCTTCAACAAAGAACAGTAAATTTTTGGAGAAGTGACAAAACAAAGGAAATGGACTTTGAGTCCCCAGAGCCAGCAACTTGTGGGAAGGTAAACAAAGGCTAGTTAGTAAAGCTTGTTATTGTAGATTCCTCTGGTGCCATCTCCAGGCCCATAAAGGTCTAAAGTTGTTTTCAGTGATTAGCTTTTGTTCTTCCTGGTAAAAAGGGGAGACGGAATATATTATTTCTTTGTAAATTTATGTCCTGATTTTAGACAAATAGAGGGAGGGCAGAGAGCTCTCATATTTCTGCTTCTTTCTTGACTTTAGCTCAACAATCCTGTCAAAAACGTGTATTTGGAGGTGGCATATTATGGCCTCTCACAGTTAAAATAGTATAAATAATAGTGTGTATATTAATAGTCTAGATTACTGTGCTTTACTTATAAGTACAATTTAGATCGTAAGTCACATAGAAAGCCAGATGGAAACATTTTAAAAATTTATCTTGGAGAAGGTTCAAAAGGTATCTGTTGTCCTTGCACAAAAGAAATCTGTACCTTCAGGGTCCTGGGAACACCAGCAGTGGCGCACTGATTTAACATAAGGCTGACCATGTGCCAACTGGGAACGGTACTTCTTAGAGATCACCAAGAAATTACTTCATTCTTCAGCCTTGGTCACATAATTAAATTTGAGTTTAATGCTCTAATCTTTAGATGTTTTTGAATGAAATTCTTATTTATTCCTTATGACAAGCACTCTGTTCTGTCTTCATGGATGAGACTCCTAGCTGTGAATAAAACCAGGTCGGAGGTTTTGCTACAGTTTATCATATTATACCTATGAATGATTCATATGCCATCTGTTGATCATAAATCCAATTAAGGAATTCTAATAAATGTATGATTTCTACTTCCTAGAGTAAAGCAGAATTGGCATTTACAACCTTCCTGAGCAATAAAATGCCAGTAAAAATATAACTGACACTTGCAGGTCTTTGCTATTCTTAAGCATTAATCACCTTAAAACACAGTATCAGGTGTCTGTATTTCCATGACTATTAGCTACAAAATGTTGGCAACATGTTAAACTTCAATTACTTTTTATAATATCTTTTATTCACATGAGCAAGGTTTAATGACTCACAAAGACAATTTGGAATAAATACAGATATTCACCCTGGATTTTTCTCTTTCAGTGGGAATAATTATTAACAACACTAGTTTCTCCTCTGAGGTAGTAATTTCTGGTAGTTTAGTTCTTTTTCAGAATGCACTGACAATGTGATTGTGATTAGTACCTCTGTCTTTCCCAGAATGCAATTATTTGCATATTAATTTAATTTTGTTTTTGGGTGAAAATAGCACCATATCAGCAGAGGGATATGATTTTAAAGTATCTGTGACATGAAATAATTTTAACGTGGAACTAAACTTTGCTATGATTCTAAATTTACTTTTAAAAATAATAAATATTGCCTTTTATGACTCAAGATTATGCTGCACAAACTAGGGAAATACATTTACCCTAAGAAGTATAAAACTTCAGTGCTATATCTGTTATTTTGACATTTTTTATTTGAATATTTACTCTCAGTATTTTTTGACATGGGGACATTAAAAATAATTCTGTGTTTTTGTTTCCTCTTTTGCACTTTATATTCTAAATTTCCTGTAATCATAAAATAGTTTTTCCAAAAAAGGTGATAATAAGTAAGTAAAACTGCTCACTTTCCTCCTCACATTATCTACTAGGGAATACCTCCAAAGAAAACACTATAGAAGTGAGAGAAGAGGTGTGCATTAAGGGGGAATCCATGCTGAAGCCTAGGAGGGAATGAGATGGGGCAAGTCCTCAGTCCAGGCTCAGTCTGAGTCAGCACACTCAGAGCAGATTTCTTGGGATAAAATGGGGAGGATTCACCTGAATCAGCTTCCAGAAACTGACAGGAAAGTCAGATGCCCCCCAGTTGACAATGGGATTGTTACCGCCTTTGGTAAAGGATGTTCTTGTTGACATGACCTCTGTATTCTCTGATGCTTGTTTAATGTGCCTGCAGAGCCAGAGCAAGACTCACTCTGACTGCTTTTGGCATCCACCTCCACATGACAGATGTACTGTCTCTAGTAAAAGTGCTTGGCACGGTAACTTTGGGTTAAACACAATTGGGTGTAAGCTAGTCTTGTGAAATGGAGATCCGCATAAAACTTGAGAGGGCAGAACAAACAAGGAGCAAATAGAGTCAAATCCATAAACCTTGAGGCTATTTAATTTCTAGGTCAACATTTATTCTTCTATGTACCTTCTGCCTTCCTCCTTTGTAATTTCCTCAGACCCAACCTTCCAGGCCCCTCATATAAAAATATTTCTCTCCTTTTCCCCAGATGGTCAGTGCTGTTCACCACCTTGCATATTAAGGTTCAGCTTTATTCAAGAAATCATTCAATGTCTGTGGAGCCCCTATTATATATGTCTGACTTCATGATTAGGGTAAATGTTGTCACATATCCATACAAATAACCTCCATTTATTAACAAAAAAAGACTTTTCAACCTCATCTCAACGGGACCCTGATATATGAATTCGCTGTGTAGTTAGATAAAATACCTAGGAATACAACTAACAAAAGACTTGAAGGACTTCTTTAAGGAGAACTACAAACCAGTGCTCAAGGAAATAAGAGAGGACAGAAACAAATGGAAAAACATTCCATGCTCATAGTTAGGAAGAATCAATGTCATGAAAATGGCCGTGCTACCCAAAGTAATTTATAGATTCAACACTATCCACATCAAGCTACCAGTGACCTTCTTCACAGAGCTGGAAAAAACCACCTTAAACTTCCTATAGAACCAAAAATGAGCCCACAGAGCCAAGACAATCCTAAGCAAAAAGAACAAAATTGCAGGCATCATGCTACCTGCCTTCAAACGATACTACAAGGGTGAGGAGATTGGGGAGGGATAACAGTAAGAGAAATACCTAATGTAGGTGATGGGGGGATGGATGCAGCAAACCACCACGGCATGTGTATACCTTTGTAACAAAATCCTGCATGATCTGCACATGTACCCCAGAACTTAAAGTGTAAAAAAAAAAAAAAAAAAAAGAACTGCAAACTTTAGTCCATCTAGTGTGGTTCTAGACCCAGACATATTGCCATGTTGCTACTGATGAGGACCAGTCTTAACTGATGCCCTTGCATTGAGACTGGCGTGGCATACAGTGCATTGCTAGAAATTAGCAATGGCTATACTAGTACTCAAGAGAAACTTAGACTATCTGTATTCATTGCATTCACATATAGCAGACTCATGTTACACTGGAGGTTTTATTTTGCCTGGATAAAGTTACTGAACAAGTAGCATCTCAGTTTGAGACAATAAGATTGCCAGCGGGTGATGAGCACTGTGGACATGAGCCATCTACCTGGTGGAGTGTGGCCAGTAGAGTGTGGCTGGTGTCTCCCATAGCAGTCTCTCTTGTCTGCCTGTCATTAGGTGATCTTGAGGCTGTGCAAAGTGAGTTATACAGCCGCTCCCTGATTAAATGCATCCTGTCTCTCTTACGTTGTAAAAATAATTGTGGACTCTGTGTTCCTCCTAGGATTATAATTCCTCAATGCCATATGTTTGTGTTGACATAATAGTATTCCCAGAAATTTGGCCCAAGCCTGACCATGTGCTGAGTGGGAGTGAGACTTCTTAGAGACCATCAAAAGTCAATTCATTCTTCAGCCTTTGTCACATAACTAAATTTGGGTTTAGTGCCCTAATCTTTAGATGGGTACCTCCATGATCTTGTTAAAGACATTTGTTTGCAAGTAAAGTGCTTCACAGTTTATCTGTGTATTTTACTGGACTTTATAATTTTTTTAAAAAACTGTCACCAGAATATGTCACTTACGTCTTCAATCTCCTTTATCTTCTAACTTGTAGCATTTTTTTCACTTTCAACATGATATTTGATGCAAGATTTGCTTATTACCCCCACTTTTGAAAAATGGTATAAAATAAGAGGAAATTGCATAGAAGGTGGAGAAGTCCATCTGTAGAAATGCTGATGGCTTCATTGTACAATAGTGTTGACTCTCAAATGAAAATGAAAAACTCCTAGCTGTGGAATGCCTAAGTTCTGAAGTTTTTCATTCAGCAGAGCTCTGTGAAGTACCAACCCAGATTTTTTTTTTTTTTTTTTTTTTTTTTGAGATGGAGTCTTGCTGTTGCTCAGGCTGGCTTTGTTTGAACTCCTGGACT